CGTCCATTATTAAGTAGATTCGAGGTAAAGGAAAACTGTCCTTAGGGCATGCTCGGTTGAGATCTATGAAATCAATGCAGAGTCGTCACTTGCCGTTGGTTTTCTTGACAAGAACCACATTAGCTAACCAGGTAGGATAGTCGACTTCCCTAATAGCTTTGGTGTGGAAAAGTTTGCTGACCTCCTCGTTGATTGCCTTTTGGCGTTCCAGGGTAAAATTTCTTCGTTTTTGCTTAACCGGTCTGTAGGTGGGATTCACAGTCAGCTTGTGTGTGATAACCGAGGGGTCGACTCCTTCCATGTCTTTTTGCCTCCAGGCGAATACTCCCCTATTCTCCCTTAGGAATTGGATGAAGAGGTCTTTTATTTCCTTGCTTAGCTTAGACCCGACGTAAACAAGGTGTTCTGGCTCCCCATCAAGTTGAACAGGCTCTAGCTCCTCTGATGGCGTTGGCCTAGTGTCCAGTTCGTCCCTCATATCTAGCTCATCTAGCTGAACATTCTCGAATTGTTTCTGCTTCATCGAGGTCATATAGCACTCCCTTGCTATCCGTTGGTCTCCTCAAATCACTTCAACTCCATTTTTCGTAGAAAATTCAATAACCAAGTGATAAGCAGAGGGGATTAGGTTCATCGCGTTGAGGGAGGGTCTCCCGAGAAGCATATTATATGCAGAAGGGGCATCAACCACCAGGAATCTTACTATGGTGGTGGCCTGGCAGGGAGGATCTCCCACAGTGAGAACGAGCTAGATTGATCCAAGGGGCAATACCCTTTCTCCTGTGAATCCCAACAGGTGAGTACTGACCGGCTCTAGCTTTTTCCTACCTATGCCCATTTTGTTAAACACAGAAGCAAATATGATATCTGCTGAGCTCTCGTTGTCAATTAGAACTCGGTAAACAGTTCTGTTAGTCACAATAGCTCTTACCACCAATGGGTCATCATGGGGGTGTTGGTAGCCTTCCAAGTCTGAGTCTAAAAAGGTAATGGTTGTGTTCAGCCAAGGTGCCTTGGACACAGTGTGCATTTCCAGCGCTTCGCCAGCTCTAATTCTGCGCAAGTGAGCCTTCTGGGCTGAACTGGACTCCCCACCCCTACAAATCCTCCAGAAATTACCCTTACTTCTCCCAGGGGTTGTTGGTGTTGTACATGAGCTTGTTGCTGGGGTGGTGCAGGTGGAGGGGCTCAGTCTTGATTATCCCAAGCTATATAGCGGTGCAATTGGTCTCGCTGGATTAAGAACTCAATCTCTTTCTTCAATTGGATACAATCATCAGTGTGGTGACCATGATCCCTATGGTATTCGTAGTACTTCGTGGGATCTCTTTTCGCTGGGTCTGCTTTCATCCGAGGTGGCCACCTCAGGAATTTCTCGTTCTGTACCTCATATAAAATCTGAGATATCGTTACGATGAGAGGAGGAAGCTGCCGAGGTGCGTACCAATTTTGTTCTAATTATGGCCAATTTTGTTCAAATAAGATCATGCCCAATTTTGTTCTAATTATTTGTGTTTGAGATTGAGAGCAAAGTTGAGCAAACGTTTGAACAATAAAGGGAAAATTTTAGTTATATCCCCTCTAATTTGTCATATCTTTAAAGATTTCCCCCCTAATTTTTGAATTTTCACTGAAACCCTTTGTCAGATTAAAAATCTTAACTAAAATACAATTTTATTAAATTGGCCATGATATATTTTAGAAAAAAAAATTTACATACCCTTTCTAGATAGACATATCTTCAATGAGACCCCATTTATTTTATAAATTTTTTTTACGTATTAAAATTCATAGTGACTAAAATTCGATTTAAGCTGAATAAAATTCGTTTTTAATCAGCTCAAATCAAATTTTAATCATTTCTCATTGAATTTTAATCGGTCTGAATTTTGATATATAAAAAAGTATAAATTTTAATTGATTTAAATTTTAATACATTGATGGTATAAATCAACATAGTGGAACTCTGTGATATGGAACAGTTGAGATGAACAATCTGCAGCTATTAGGACCTGAGCTATACTGCTCGTAAGAGCAAGAATTGGTCTTCAGGGGAAAATTAGGGGATTGACACAATGAAAATATAGTGATTTACCAGCTTGGTAGCTCGGCTAATCCACTCTTTAATGAAGGCTCTTGCTCCTCTTCTTTTATTGATCACCCGAAAGGTTTACAAGACCCCTTGTGTGTTAATAGGGTTTTTTTTCGAAGGAGGGCGTTACATAGTATTTATAAGGATGTCCCTAACTCTATGGGATCTGCACCGAAATCCTTGTCATTTATTCGAGGAATTCTCCTTGATCTTAGAAGAGGATCCTGGCTGTTTAAGGATTTTGTGCCTTGAATATGGCTCGTTGCCACCTGTCATGCTTCTGTTGTCATCCAGTTGTTCCCTTATTATTCCTGTCGCTATTACATCCGGGGGGAGCTCTAGCTCTGAACTTCTAAGCTCAATGAGTCTTTCCTGACCTCCTGTTCTGATCTGCTTGTCTGACCTCCGCGCCTGAACTCATACTTGAAAATTATTCTGAGTATCATCATACATAAAAAATAAACTTTAATCAACTTAATTGACACCAATTTTAATAAGTAAAAAATATAAATTTTAATCAACTCGAATCGAATTTTAATTAGCGCTAACAGTTAAGGTTGAGCTCAAATCGATTCGAATTTTAATACGTAAAAAAAGGAATTTTAATAGGCTTAAATTTTAATACGTACAAAATAAAATTTAATCAATTCAAATCAAATTTTAATCGGGTCAAATTTTAATATGTAAAAAAAAATTAACCAACTCTAATTTTAATATGTAAAAAATTAAAGTTTAATTGACTCAAATTTTAATCAAATTTTATGTAAAAAGATTGTTTGGAGTTTCTATATGGGCAATTTGGGTATTTTAGATAATTGTTTATTTATTAAAAATAGTGGTTTAATGGTAAGATGTGTTAATGATGTTTAAGTATAAACTAAAAAATGTGTCAGCGACGTTTTGAATAATATAAGGAGTGTCATTGAAGATAAGATAGAGTAAAGTATGTGTCACTAAAATTTTCCCAACAATAAATAATCAAAGACCAAGAAAAAAAGAGTCATCAAGCCATAGCAAGTCGGCAAGACTTTGAAGAACAAAGATTAATATGAGGGATTTTTAGGAGAAAATATTCAATGGGGGCTTAAAGCTTTGCAAGGTGCCTCAAGGAACCCTCCAAACTCATACTTGTGACAATGTTCTTTAATATATACTTAAGAAAGGAGAAAGAAGCTTCTTTGAAATCATGGGGTGACTGGGTTTATACACAAATGACACAATAAGGAAGTTAAATATTTTATTTCTTAATTTCAGAATTGTTTTGTTTTTGAAATTTCCACACATTTAATGCCTTTTGAAATGACACAATATCTCTTTTCGGAGTTCTTAATTGAAAGTGGGTAAAGAAAAAAAAACCATTTTATTCTTTGTTGATTGTGTTATATAATTAAAAAAAAACTGAAAAATAGGAGCAAATATTTAAATATAAAATTTTATTCTTTGTTAATGTCAAGTCAAAATGGATATGAGGAGAAGGAGTCATTGGAATTTGTTTCTTGAAAATGATTTTGTTATGAAAACATAATTTTAGGGGTGTTTGTGTTATTTCTAAAAATAAAGAGGTGTATATGTATTTTTTCCAAAATTTGGTAAGGTAAATATAATTTACTCTCAAGAATACTACTTTTCATATTTAACAAATTATTATTTTCAAATGTTTCACATGGAGGCATTGGAAGGGTAACAAATTCTGATAGAACACGAAAATTCGACTCGAAATTGACACAAAATTAGTGGATTATGGTTGATTATTTCTTGACACGAACTAATATATGACACGATCCATTAACAGGAATAATAAATGAATTAGATTAGTGTCAAACACAAAGAATACCAAATTAACACGATTAACACGTTTAAGTAATATTATAAAAATAAAATGCTAATTTTTTATTATATTTTATCAATAGTGACTTAATTCTTATACCCAAAAAAAAAATATTCATTTTTATCATTACATTTATTAATTTAATTTTTTGTTTATAAAAAATGTACGAGACCAATGGGTCTTTGATCAAATGGTACTCTTTACCTTAAATCTTTAAATTAAATCCTTAAATTAGGTCCAAATAACATTTTCCAAAGTCAAAACTCAAATGCATATCATTCCTAGATGAATGTAAGATAAATAAGTTCCACTGAAAAAATTGATGGGAGCTATTTATTTAAATGATGATATACATTTAAGTTATAATTTTTTGGGTCTCATTTGAATTTTATAACATTGCTCAAAATTTTTTATTTACAAATTATATGCATCAACACGAAACAAGGCAGTTGCTAGGCTGTTGTGAAAATTGCTTTTGACCAAAGTCAAAAGTATTGCCCAAGTGGTGTGATGTCAATTAACTACTACAACGTCGTATCGCATATTCTTAAAGACAAGCCCCCTAAAACCAACTTGATTAATATTTCAGTATCTAAAAGTACCAGCAGACAAAACTGATATCAATTTGGGGTCCAAAAATTAAGCAATTCACACAAGGGAGTAGAGCATGATCTGCAGACAACCTTGTTTAAGTATCATCTTCAAAGATTAGAGAATACTTGCATAATTTTAAATAAACACCCAATCATAAGGCTTAAGAGTTAAAAACATAGAACATACTTAAAATCCCTCGAGCAGACAAAATAGTCAGTGTGTTGATGTTAACTATCCAATGGGCTTACCAGATGTCAAGCAAATTCTCTCCTTAATTGTGGTTAGCTTGTGCTGGTGCTCCAGTCCACCAAAAAAGAATACGGCAAAGTTTTCAGCTAGTGGTGTTCAGCTCAAGTTAAACTAGTCTACATCCACTGCAATATTCTCATGACCATCCCCTTGTGTCCTCCTGCAATAATAGATACGAGAGAAAAGCTGGCCTTATAACTCCCTGCTCTATTTTAATTGCCCCAATTCAACCTAAAGCTAAGGATCATTTGACCTTGGACATGACATCATACGAGCAGCAGGCATTTTCTGAAACAACTTGACCAGCAGATTTAGGTTAAATCCTTGAAACTCTCTCTCACCTCCGTGTGCCTTAACAACTTCAGGAACCAAGTGCTGATATTTGGTAACAAAATTCTCCAAGAAAGTCTTCTCTGTCATTAAAAACACCCTCATTAAGTTGTTATTCCACTCAAACAGATCTTTGGACATCAGAAGTTGCAAGACCGAGCACCTTGGAATAATCCTTTTCTCCAAACTAAGCAGAAAAAGGTTTGGATGCCTGAAGATTGACGAAGGCTAAAAATTCAGTTTTTGCACAAAGAAACTCATAATTTTCCTAAACTCTTTTGCCGAAGTGAGCATACAAATAGGTTGCAATTCAAATGCTAAAAAGAACTCATCTCTAGACAAACCAAAACTGCTAAAAACTTTTATTTTCTCTTCAAATTTTGATCTACTCAAGGATGACAATGAACAGAGGGCTAGAACAAATTTCATCTATTTAGGATCAAAACCTAAGCTTGTAACTTCCTAAACTATCTCGCTAAATTGCTCAGGTCTTCGGTACAGCCATCTTGGTCGAAATAAGATCAACTTCACAATGTTGGCCTTGGGTACCCCAAGGCTAATCAAAGTCCGAAAATTGGGTTCCAACATATTCTTCATGATGGGACATTTTTAGACACACCAAGATGACGACACGTGTACTCAGCGCCAATGGAGACTCTCTGTTGTGATCCTGACACGTCCTCGTCGGTCTATAACCCCCTTCCCCGAGGGAACTATTCACAGGGATCAAGGATCCCCGATACGCCGTGGATCGACACGCATCCCTCGGTTAGTTTAGGATATCGGTCCTAATCATGCTAGTCCCTCGGCACCGAGGTGTATCTGCCCACATGGTCATTTCTGCTCCTGCAGGGGCTATTGATTGACAAGTTACTAGCCTAGGCTAGGCTAGACTAGCCATCATAAGATCGTGCTACTCAAATGGTGTCAGGAGGCACAAGGAAGTAAAAGGCTCAACCAAAGGAAAATTAACACATGACATATTGTGTTAGGTCAGAGACAAAAAGACCAGAATATCCTTGCTGACACACAACTTGGGAGGTTAGGCATTTAATGCATCCTTCACTCGATGAGACAACATTTAATGCATAAGAGCCTGGAAGTGAAAGGTAATAAATGTTCCTATGCCTGGGCATTTAATACATCCCTACCGAGAGAAGGTCATTAAATGCTCGACAGACCGAGGAGAAACCATTAGTTGTTCGAGGTCCCGAGCAATTAAGAATGAGAACATTTCTCATAGAAATTAGTGTGCACACTGCTCACCTCTAATGATTACCTACTGGCTACGCTGTCAGCAATGATGAGTTTTGTAAGGTATAAATAGTCCTCACAAACCCATTAAAAAGGTACGCAAAAAACCCTTTCTCAAGGATCATATAGTATTTTCTTCTTCTCCTCTCTCAAATAACTGACTTGATCGTCGGAGGGGATACGCCAAAAAATACTCCGGCGCCCTTCTAATCTATTTTTCTCTATTCCAGGAACCTCTTTTAGCCTCCCAGGACCAGTCAGGCGACCCATAAAAATAATCCATCATCACTTCATAGGCCACCTTCGGCCCTCACAACGTATTCCACGTAGCAAGATTGACCACTCGATCGACGGACTCGTGTTTACCATGAAAGAGATCTATTCTTGTGTTTATATTGTGTAAGAACCCGCACGCACAATCTGGCACCGTTTGTGGGAAACGACTAGTTTTCCTAGTTTTCTTTTCTAGAAAAAACAGTGACCATAGTGAATACTCGACAGAAAGGAAAGGTCCCCAGCAAAGAAGTCTCGAGTTACAAGCTCTTCATCATGATGGGGGGAGGGATCACGTTGGTGACAACAGGAACGTTCTATTCAGCCAAGGGGGCATACTCCTCAAACCAGTATGGTCATTGGGTCAAGAGGATCCGCCCCCTTGGCTCATCAACTGGCAGAAGTGATCGAAGAAAAGTTTGGGGATGACTACGGTAGTTAGAAAAAGATAATGTGAATGTCCTAAGCCGACTCAACGAATTTGCAGCCCCCGACGAAGGATCGAGGTATTCATTCCATTCCCGCGGATGCTTCGCCCGGAAGCAAAAATTGAGGACTTGAGAAATCATTTAAATAACAAAGCTGAGAGTTCTAGGGTCCCAAAGCGCCCGAGAGCCAATGAGCACCCCCTCGATGGTCATTCCAGGAAGGTAAGGCCTTTGGCTTGAGACGACCTTCG